GTCCATGATTCCTTAGCTTCGGAAGCAAGGTTGCATAGCACAGATAGTTGATGGGTTTTACTCCAGTCATGAAGCCACTTTATAAAGTCCAGCCTCTAAAATAATTTATTCATTGTATAGATTGAAAAGGGATGGAGAAAGAATGCTTCCTTGATGTGCTCCTTTCTTGATTTTGAGCCATGCAAAATTTGCTCTGTTCAAGCAACACCATCTTGGCCCAGGTACAGATTTTGCATGAGCACAGTCAAGCGTTCTGGGATTCCTGGTCTTATCAATGTTAGCCACAATTTGTTGTGATCTATATGGTTAAATACCTTTACATAGTTGATAAAACACAAATAAACAGCCTTCTGGTATTCTGCATTCAGCCAAGATCCATCTAACCTCATCAGTGATAGGCCCTAGTGCCGTGACCTCTTCCAAACTCAGCTTGTATTTCTGGCAGTTCTCTATCAATGTACTATTCTAGTCATTTTTGGATAATCTTCAAGATTTTGCTTGCATGTGATACTAGTGATATTGTTTGAGAAATTCCATATTCTGTTGGATCACCATTTTTATGAATGGAAGTAAATATGGATCTCTTCCAGTCAGTTGGACAGGTAGCTGTGCTCCAGATTTCTTGGCATAACCTGGTGAGCATATCAAGGACTGCATCTGTTTGTTGAAATATGTCAATTGGTATTCCATCAATTCCTGGGGCCTTATTTTTTTGCCAGTATCTTCAGAGCAACTTGTATTTTTTTCCTTTATTACCTTTGTGTTTTCATCATATGCACTTTCTGAAATGGTTCTGTGTCAGCCAATTCTTTTTGATACAATGACTTCCATGTATTTCTTCCGTCTTCTTTTGATGCTTCCTGCATCATTCAAGATTTTGCCTCTAACAGCTTTTAGTGTTGGAACACAAGGCTTGAATTTGTTCTTCGGTTCCTTCAGCTTGAGAAATGCCAAACAAGTTCTTCCCTTTTAGTTTTCTAACTCCAGTTCTTTGCACATTTAACTATAATACTTTGTTTTGTCTTTACAAGTTGCCTTTTGAAGTCTTCTGTTCAACTCTTTAAGCGTCCTCATTTCTTCCCTTTGTTTTGGCTTCCTGGCATCCCAGTGCAATATTCAGAGTCTCTTCCAATGTCCATTTTGGTCTTTTTTCGTCCTCTGTCTTTGTAATGACCTTTTGCTTTCTTCATAGATGATTTCCTTAATATCATTCCATAGCTTATCTGATCTTCGTTCATTAATGTTCAGTGCCTCAAACCTATTCTTGAGATGGTTAGACTCAAGGTCATATTATGGTTCTTGTATACTTGTATTAATAATTAGCTTTAATTTTAACTTGCACTTGGCTAGTTTATGGTCTTTTCCACGGTCCACTCCTGGCCTGGTTTTCACAGCTAATATTGAGTTTCTCCAGCAGTTCTTTTCACAGATATAATAATTGATTCCTGTGTAATTCCTAATTCCTCAGCCGTTCTGAGGTCCATGTGTATAGTCGCTGTTTGTGGGGTTTTTTTTAAAAGATGTTTGCAATGAATAAATTATTGATTATACAAATTTCTTTCAATCTACCGCCAGCCTCAATTCTGTCATCAAGCCTGCATTTTCTAACTACTGACTCATCTTTTTTCATTAAGATTTTAATGAAAGTTTATAGAGAACATGGATTTCCATTCATTCATTGTTGCACATTTTCCTTCCTGTCCACTCTTCCCACCCAGTTCACTTTTCTCTGGTAAAAAGAAAAAAAAATTCTTTCATTGTTATACAGTTCCCACCCAAGTCCACTGTAGACCCTTTTTTCTTATTTTCAACTTTCACATTCCAGTCACCAATTATTACTAATGAATCTAGGTTACATATTTGATTGATTTCAGACTTCAAAAGTTGATAGAAATCTTCTCTTTGGCTTTAACTGTTGATAGGTATGTTTGAATGACAATGGTATTAACAGGTGTTTCCCCCCAAGGATAAGTATTGTATGAAATCGTTATTGTAGAATGAGTATAAGGATCCAGGAGGGGTGAGAATGGCTGGAAGTAGAGGGATGTGGATGTGCGGGGTGGGGGGAATGAATTATTGAGTTGAACAATTTGATGGACAGGGTTGGGGTGAGAGAAATGGAAAGAATTTGTTCCAATTTGTATTTGAGTTTTGCAAATAAACTAGTAAGGGGGGAGAACAAACCAAAAAAACCACAGGTGTTTCACATTGATAGTATCCTGATACAACATTGTACTTTAGGATTGTTGTTGTTGTTGTTGTTATGGACCGTCGAGTCACTTGCGACTCATAGAGATCCTATGTACAAGAGCCCTAAACCCTGCTCTATGCTGTGCCAACCTCACCGTCTCTGACCCCCCCCCCCACACTGAGTATACGCCACTATGCAACCTTAATTCTGGACTGGTGTAATAACCATAATACCCTATCATATATCACTTTTAACTGTTCTCTCCCTCATCTGTTTCAATGCAGTATACATAATTTATCCAGTTTTTCTCAGTCTTACCCCAACCCTGATGTCAGTCTCCCTCTACAACAGTGGCACCAGGCAGTATTTGTCCTTTTGTGACTGAGATATTTCACTCAGCATAATGTCCTCCAGGGTCACCCATTTTATTGCATGAGTTCCTTGTTTTTCAATGCAGTGTAGTATTCCATTGTGTGAATATTCCATATCACTATCCATTTGTTTGTTGATGGGCACTTAGGTTGTTTCCAATTCTTTGATATTGTGAACAAAGCCGCGTTAAAAATGAGTGTGCATATATCTTCTTGGGTGGTCGTTATGGTTTCTTTGGGGTATATTCCAAGTAGTGAAATTGCTGGGTCAAATGGTTGTTTCTTTTTTTTTTTTTTTTTAATTTTTTTTTTATTTTTTTTTTTGTGTGAGTGTACCATCAAATCAGATCTGACTGGTACAAGAGGAGATTGTCCTTCCTTCCCCGGCAGAGCATCTGGTGGATTCGAACCGTGCACCTCTGGGATTATAGTTGCAGCTCCTTGCCACTAAGCCACCAGAGCTCCCCTCAAATGGTTGTTTCTATTTGCAACTTTTTTTTCTTTTTCTATTTGCAACTTTTTTTTTCTATTTGCAATTTTTTGAGAAAGCGCCATACTGCCTTCCATAGTGGTGCACCATTTTACACTCCCACCAACAATGAATAAGGGTTCCAGTTTCTCCACAACCTCGCCAGCATTTGTTACTTGCTGTTCTGTTAAATTTTGCTATTCTGACTGGGGTGAGATGATATCTCATAGTTGTTTTGATTTGCATCTCTCTTAGAGCTAGGGATTTTGAACATTTCTTCATGTGCTTGTTAGCCATCTGAATGTCTTCTTTGGTGAAGTGTCTGTTCATATCCTGTGCCAATTTTTCAACTGGATAATTTACCTTTATATTGTGGTGGTGTGACCAGTCCCTCTTCCTGGTCTGTTTTAATTTGGGAGTTCCACTTTAGTATAGCATCTGACAGACAAGTACTATACCCAAAAGAGCAGATGGTAGACAAGAACACAAATACGTATCTGAGGTATAGCAGTAGCAACATGCAGACACTTCCCCAATACAAAAAACTGACAGATAAATTATATGCTTAAGAGCAAACCTTAAGGACAAGCAAACATACAGATATAACGGTGTGAGTGGCAGGGATTCCCACATTAAGGCAACAGTACAGGTCTTTAAAGTTGTCGGGCCTTGGACTATTGTGAATGTGTAGGTTTTCCCCCCTCCTCATGGAGTGACCATGAGGCCTGTAACTCAAACCTCGTCTAATGGCTCAGGCTCTAGTCTTGTCTGTCTATTATCTGAGTGCTCCTGATGAAGATGGCACCCTGGGCCTCCTGGATCTGCTCCCGGCATGTGTTTATGTGCTGCTGACGGGCGGGGGTGGGGAACGATATACCTATTACTGCCAGGCCTCCACTCTCTTTTCCTGAGTGCCAGCCTCTGTTTGTCTGTCTTGTGGTTTTCTAGTCATCCTTCAAGTTTCTCCTCTTCATTGGTGTTCCCTGACTTTTCAGATACCCTTCAAAGAGTTTACTTTGACTACCTTTGCACCGTTTACCATAAATACTTGTTCTTTTTTTTTTAATACTTCTTCTTTAGAGAACTCTTTATTGTAATTGTTTGAATGTTTATCTTCCCACGAAATTCCTAAGTTTTTTATAGGCAAAAGTCATGTTTTCTTCATCTTTGTTTTCTAGTATGTCATAGCAATACTTATTCTCTATAGATGTATTAAAAATGTAACTAAAATAGTAACTAAAAATGTAACTAAAATAGTCATAGTGGTGTTCTATAATCTCTGAAAGGAAGATATTAGAGCTTCAGCACTATATGCTAACTTCAGTCTCATCTTTATGCTAACTTCAGTCTCATCTTGTAGCTTTTAAAAGCGTGTACACAGTCCGTTTCTGTCATTTGAATTCTGTATTGGTGAGACTATTTACTTTTTTTATGGTGCCAATTTAAAATACATCTTTATTTGTTGTTGTTATTAGGTGTTGTCAAGTTGAGTATAACTCATAGCAACCCAATGAACAAAAGATCTGAACTCTGTTTTATCCTGTGTCATCCTCACACTTCCTGACACACAAGAGCCCATTGCAGCAGTCACCATATAAGTCCACCTGGTTGGGGGTCTTCCTCCACCCTTCCCAACATCATGTCCTTCTCCAAGGAATAGCACCTCCTAGCCACATGTCCAAAGTATATGAGGTGATTTTCCACTTACAATACAGTGATAATAAAGCACAATGTTACTTTCTTTCCCTATGCAAATTTCATACTCAAGTACTGAGAATGCCCACAAATTTAGTCTTTAATGGTTTAAACTTTGAAACTGCAGAGTGCTGCAAATTTTAGTCCTTCAAAATTTTTAATGGTGAAGAGACGATTTACTTTAGAATATGTTTATACAAACTGAATCCTTTGTATCCAATAATAAATATTCCTTTAAGACTTCCAATATTTTCAGCTGCCTTTTCTTTTTCAGCATAAACTAGAATGTGATTTGCAACAGAAGGAGGAAGAGGTTGCTGAATTACAGAAAGCTCTAAGCGATATGCAGATCTGCCTCTTCCAGGAACGGGAACATGTTTTGCGCCTCTATTCAGAAAATGACCGGCTGAGAATCAGGTACTCAGTAGGAGAAGGAAAATATTGGAGTTATGATTCTACGTTATTCTCAACAAGATACATTTCTCTGTAGCCATTCACTTGGTTTGTATTCCCAGGAAACCTCACTGAGATCGAGATTTGCTTACGGGAAGTTAACTAGAAGGCTCTCAGGAGTAACACCTCCCTGTAGATAGAGGCAGATGAAAAAATGGAACTGTAGTTCAGTGTTAACAGAAGCCTTAGCCAGGGCAGTGGGGTCTCTTAGAATAGAATGGTCTTTCAGAGAAAAAGGGATGGACTTCTTTACTCCCACAATGACACGTCACTGGATGCAGCCAGCCCTCAGGGAGGAGATAAAACCTTAGAAAGCAGCGCCATACAGCTAAGGGCAATTCCTAGAAATGACTGAGCTTTTGGGGAAAGAGGTTCTTAGTCCTAGAGGATTCATCTGAAGATTGTAGCACAGCATCTTCTACAGTATGTATCTGCATGCTCAGATCCACCTACTTAGGATTATTCACCCTGTCTTGAAATAGCCCTCTGGGATTCTGGTGGATTTCTTCTGGGGAAACTTTAAAGAAAAATAGAGAAACTTCTAGAGCTAACAGAAGAATTTCACATACTAGCAGTGTACAATGTCAGCAAATAAAAGTCTATTGAAGTTTTTTTACACACCAACAGTGAGAAAGCAGAAATGGAGTTAGTGAAACTGTTTAATTTACATCTGCTAATGTAAAATACATAGGAATAAATCTAACCAGGGACATGAAGGACTTACCAGTGAAAATGTTATAACACTACTGAAAGAGACTAAACTCAAACTCAAAAGATGTTTTGTATTCTTGAGTTGGAAGACTTAATATTGTTAAGATGTCATTACTACCCAAACCAATCTATAGATTCAGTTTAATCTCAATCATAATTCCAATAGCCTTCTTAGAAAAATTGAAAAAAAAATTCCTCAACTTTTTATGATTGGTATGTGATCCCAAATAGCTAACACAATGTGAAAAAGCAGAACAAAGCAGACACGTCTTGATTATAAAACATACACTCTTTGGGCGAAGCATAATAGGGATATTTTTTAAATACCGGAAATGTTTTGTTTTGTTTTGTTTTGTTTTGTTTAAATAAATAAAATTTGTATTTTGTACTGGTTTACTTACAAAGCAGAAATATTTTTAGGTATGATCCTTAGGGGACAGTTGCATTTATGTTATGAAGGAGGAACAACTTAGAAAATGAGGGGGAGAATACTGCACAACTCAAGAGAACATAATCAGTGTCCTTGTCCATGTAGAAAAAGTTGGACTGCCATGTGTTTTGCTGTATTTCTTCTCAACAACAACAAAATATTTAAAAATAAAAAGGTAGATTTGACGACGGATCAACAGCTGCTGATTGCACTTGATAGTACTACAAAGTATACTCATCATTTACCTTCTTTACTGACCTGAAGCATTTGCTGCAGAAAGATTATGGATTGAGGATCAACATCAAGAAAACAAAGATGCTCACCACCGGGCCAAATGGAAGCACCATGATGGATGGAGAAGAGATTGGGTTTGTTAACAATTCCAGCTTACTTGGGTCCACATCAACACTCTTCACACCAGCAGTCAGGAAATAAGAAGACAAATTGCACTGGGGACCTCTCAAAGTGCTGAGGATCAATGATGTCAGTCTAGAGACTAAGATGTACCTGATCCAGGCTTTGCTCTTCACAATTAAATGCTGTGCATCAGAGAGCTGGACAGTGACTAAGGATGACAGACACATTGGTGCCTTTGAGTTGTGGTTCTGGAGAAGATTACTGAATATACTATCGACTGCCAAGAGAACAAATAGGTCTATCTTGGAGAGAGTGAAGTTTCTCCTTAAAGGTAAGGATTTTGACTCTCCATCTCACTTACTTTGGCCATATGCCATGCAGGGACCAGTCTTTGGAGAAGGACATCATGCTTGGAAGGGTGGAGGAACAGTGCAAGAGAGGAAGACCCCAGATGAGATGGATTGACACAGTAACTAGGATAATGGAATAGATGCGTCCGAGTCAGTGAGACTGGCTCTGGATAGGGCAGGTTCAGAGCTGTTGTACTTAGGGTCACTTTAAGTTGCTGGTGACCTGACATCACATAACAACTGCTACTCTTCTAGATTTTCTTTCCCCAGCACTTCTTTTTCCCCCCGTTTCTTTTTATTATTTATTAATTTTAATGAAAATTTACAGAGATTTTGGATTCCCATTCATTCATTGTTGCACTTTTCTCCCTACCTACCCCTCCCCTCCAGTTCATTCTTCTCTTTGAAAAGTGAAAGAAAATATTCTTTCATTGTTGTACAATCCCTTCCCCCAAATCCACTTCTGATGGTCCAGGTGTTTTACCTGGTGGAGTGGTTCTAATCCTCATCCCTGAAAGGTCTCAGCTCTGTCACTATGGCCTTTTCGGGCCATGGATCCTGAACTGGATGCTAAATCTTGAATAACAGCAGTCCTTAAAGAAAAACTGTCATTGCCACCGAGTCACTTACCTCCCAAGGATTTTCTGAAGGGACTTGGCAGATGAGAAGGGTTATCCTGGGGGAGGGTGGAGCTGGGAAGTAAGTGGGTCAAGGTTTTGGGCTAAGGGTGGGGTCAACACTGTAACTAATGCTTAACTCCACAATAAGGGATTTATCTTT